ACATTTGAGTAAAATGTTATCATTCTACTTCAATTCGTTCCGAAGCTAGAGTGATTTCCACAGACGGACGGACATCGCTAAATCGACATAGAATTTAATGCTGATCAAGAATATATATACTTTGTGGGGTCTAAAATTTATATTTCGAGGTGTTGCAAAACGGAATGACAAAGTTAATATACCCTCCATAGTATGGTGGAGGGTATAAAAACATTAGGTTCGGCCGGACCGAACTTGTAATACCTTAAAACTTTGAGTAAAGAAAACATGTTTTTTAAAAAAATATATGAATTCAAACGTGTCCCACTTTAAACTCCAAAAACTTTAATGCTGTTAAACCATAAAGTGGGTGAGACCGTTTTATGGGGGCCATACCAAAACGGTAAATTCTACAGACAATTTTATACTTTAAGTATTGTCTTCTACCAAGTCTTCGTAAATACCAAATTTGAAACAATTTCGTGGGTAATTGTGACTAGGATTATCATAATACCGAATATCGGTGGGTATCGTTATATCTGCTCTATAGGAAAAAGTGGACCTATAGATACTATGTTCCGCCACAGGAGCTAGAATCCATTACGAACTACAAATACGAATTTTTAGACAAATCCGTGGAAAAATGTGGCAAAAAACATCAAAATGACGAATATCGGGAGGCACCGTTATACCAACCATCCTAGACAAATTACAAATTATTCTGCCAAATTGTGAAGCTCTACGTCAAATAATGTGGGCTGGGTAATGTGGACGAACCTCGTTAAATTGACTTAGAATTTTATGCTGATAATGAATATTTATACTTTATTGGGTATATGACCGATATTAAGGGATGTTACAAACGGAATGACCTTTTTTTAAAATGGAGGGTATAAAAATGAGGATGTGCAAAATTTAAAGAAACTAAAGTATTTATTTCCAATTTTGTGGGAATAATGTTAATCAAAATTTTAATATTTTGTGGAGGAGGAACCAATAGATATACATAGGATCGACTTTTTATTATATAATTATATCTACTCCCCATGACGGAGGTACCAAAGGAACATTTATAATATTCCATATTCACGTCTTGGAATGACTTGTTTCACATGTTATGAGAGATATGTCCTGAAACGGGTTTGTTATGTCGCTAATGCACGTTTGGCCGTATCATATACTCTCCGTAGTCATAAGGCTGAGTGTGAGACAAATTCATACGATTCGGTTACGTAAATGGCAATGACTCTATTGGTCAGAATCCGATCCTAAAGAAATTTAACAAGCGGAATTTTGCAGTGCGGTAAATTTGCATTCAATCGAGCATATTTTTAATGCCAAATGTCAAAGATTTCGATTTATTTCATCTATATAGACCGATATTCTTATTTAATAAAAAATGAATACTGTTTCTAACAACTAAAAATATTCGTCGGTGCCCATTAAATACATATATTTGCAATCAGGAAAAGTTTTCAAATCGATTTAACGCTGTCCGTCCATATGTCCGTGTTTTAAAATCAAAATAGATCTTCAATTTTAAAGATAAATAAATAAAATTTGGCATAGTTGTGTGATACTAATAATGTGCTATATCTGTTCACATTTGAATATTGCCCCCTTATAAAAGTACCTACTGTTTTACGGTATTTTGAATGTTTCTACCCAATTTCTAACTAAATCAAATTAAAGTTTATATTTTGGGTTCTCTGTGAAATTTGGGCTTTTAGTTACCCAACACGCACATAACATAATTTCCTCATATTAAGAGTTTCGAGGATAGTCGATTTGGTTAAAATCCAAATTTTCAGATAGTGAAGGATATAAAATGTTAAACATTGCTGGACCTAACATCGTTTTTACCTCTTCTACATACGCTTCTGTGCTTAAACTTCTATCAAAAACAAGTGATTTTCTCTTGTTATCGCTCCACTCTTTTTAGAGAACGTAGATATCTCGAAAAATATATAGAATTCGAAAGAAGAAATGTAAGAAAGTCCGTCTTTTAAATAAAAATCATTGGATCAATTACTTTGATATTTGAAATTAACTACGAAATAAAACAACTACCCATACGAATATCCAAATGGAAGGGAAATATCTACTTATTTGTTTCCCTAATCTTTAAAAAATGAACCATATTTATTTTACTTGGCATGTAATGGGAACGAATTCCGAACAAAATGGTATTAAATCAGTATTTAGCTTCTTCTTAAAATGAAAAACGATTTTTTTTCGAGTTGAAACCACTTTTAATTTTCCAAGCGAAATTGTATTTTCATGAGAACTTGTAACATTTAAACCAATTCAAGTAGTAAAAATGTTGTTTTAATAACAAATACACAAATAATTTTACAATTTTTATTTTTTATTTAAATTAACTACCAAATTTCACTAGTTTCTTAATTGACGATTATTAACAAAGTGTTGCCACAATTTGTTTCTTGAAAACCCCTATTTTCTTCAAACAAAAATTATTATACCCTACACCACAAGGTGGTCAGGGTATTATGTCTTTGTGCATTTGTTTGTAACAGCCAAAAGGAAACGAGAATCACTTACTGAGTTGATTTATGCATGTCAGTCCGTCTGTCCATGTATTTTTGTGAACAAACTGCAGGTCGCATTTATCATCCGATTGAGATGAAGTTTTCCTAACAACATTTGTTTGGCCCAAGAACGAACCCTATTGAAATTGGAGATAATCGGTAAAAATTTAGATATAGCTCCCATTTATATCTTCGTCCGATTTGCCTTTTATTGTGCACCAAACGTGTAATATCAGCCCGAATAGTATGGAATTTTGCACATACAACCAATTTAGGCCTGAAAATAAGTATGCCAAATTTTATCGAAATCGGTTCAGATATAGCTATAGATCCCATATATATTGTTCATCCGATTTGTTATTTTTGTCCTCCGCAGCCGTAATATGCACTCTGTAACAACAATATTTGGGGAAATATATCAAATGCAGCTCAGAAATACCTTTGCTAAATTTTATCGAGATCGGTTCAGATTTGGATATAACTCCCATATATAACTTCATCCGATTTACCCTTTATTGTGCACCAAACGTCTAATATTTGTCCAAATGAGATGGAATTTGGCACATACGACCGAATTTAGTCTAGAAGGTAGTATGCCAAATTTGGTGAAGATCGGTTCAGATATAGTTATAGCTTCCATATATATTGTTCATCCGATTTATTGTATTTGTTACCCACAGCCGTAATATGCACTCCGTAACAACGATATTCAGGGAAATATATCAAATATAGCTCAGAAATATCTTTGCCAAATTTTATCGAGATCGGTTCAGATTTGGATATAGTTCCCATATATATTTTTATCCGATTTCAAATTAATTTCGCACCAAATGGGCAATACAAGTCCGAATTTAAAAGATACAAATGCTTCGGCATATTTAGTCCTTTGAATTTTAAATTATAATTATAATCATAGCGTGTATGATTGAATTCTCCCATAAAAACTTTTAATTATTAAGTGGAACTCAACTAAATTAGCAAAGTGGTGTAGGGTATCATAAAATCGGCCCCGCCCGCCTTTAGAACTTTCTTTACAGTTTTTTTTTTAATATTTTTTTAGTATTGTGTTCATTACTGTGTGCCTCAATTGCAGAAACTGTCGAAACTCTTGGTCTGTCTTGTGCAATAATTGACAAAATTAACTTTATATTCACACAAAAAAACTTCCTTTAAACAGAATATTCCTGTCAATTTCCATTTCTATGGGTTTTATACCCTCAGCAATTTTGCTACAGAGGGTAAATATCATTTGATACGGCCAAAATGTGCCTCAATGAAATAACGGTTTTAGACCCTAGGTCTATTTGCACCAAATCCGTTGCAGGACATTTGGAGTCGATCTTGCGATGTCTGTCCGTCCATCTGTCGGTCTGGCCGGTGCAAACTATAACTTTTGAAGGATGTATCCGATTTGGTCCAAGCTTATTACATCGTAATATTATTATCAAACTTAGATTAGTTTCGGAAATGGGCAATATCGGTCTACTCCTTCTGGTACCTCCCCCACAAAGGGTTAACATTCTGAGTATCACTGAAATAAGCATCACATTCTCTTCATATTTCACACATCCCATTATTTCTACTAACACAAGAGCTGCTGTAAGGATGGGATATATTGGTCCACACCTTCTGGCACCTCCCCCAAAAGGAGCAAACATTTTGAATATCCATGAAGTTCATAAAACGCGAAATTGACATCAGATTCCCTTCAGACTTGGTAGATCTCAATATTTCTATCAATAAAAAAAATCTGTTATGAAGATGGTAGAGACAGGACCATTTCTTCTGGTACCTCCCCCACATAGGGTTCAAGTTTTTGAAAATCAAAATATTCAATGAATGCTCTTCAAATTTCACACATACAAACATTTTTGTTGTGAAAATAATGTATATCTGTGAACCCCTTCTGATATCTCACCCACAAAGGGTCACAATTTTCAATACTTTTATCTGTCATAACTTGTGAAACAAGTCAGCGATTCTTTACAACTAAATATTTCTCTCAACCAGAAACCTGGGATGAATATGGAATTTATGATTTCGCACAAAATTGTAATTTTGCCCATACCAATAGTTGTATCTGTCTCCTATATCTGGTACCTAACGTACATTTTAACTTTTTCTTAAAAGTTTTCACATATCTCATATAAAGCGAAGGAAGTAACCAATATAGTCCAAAACTGGCACGTCGAAATATTTATATCATATTTGAATAGGTCCGTTACGAAATGACCCATTTCCTTCGTAACCTACTCCATAGGGTCAACAATTTGAAAAATCATAACAGAAGTCAAAATATATTTAAATAATAGAACATTGGCTGAGGGTATACACCTGTCGGCAAAACCGACCGATATTTTTTTTACTTGTAATTTTTTTTTCAAAATATAAAGAAGTACAATTTTTAGATCACTTTAAGATACCAGTTCCACCCAAAACCTATGATTTTTCTATTTCTTGTTTTCGACTTACCATTTCCATCCTTTTCATAAGAACCACGATCCATATCTTCTTCAGCGGCATCTTCTTCTTCGACTATATTTAGATTTTGTTTTTCATCGTCGAATAATTGCTCCTCGGAATCTGTTAAATATTCCGTACCCTCTTCGTTCGATGTTTGCGATGAGACACCCTGATAGGAGGGTGGTGTTAAGAGCATGCCCTCTTTGTCGATTTGGACATGATCGGCACCAGCAGCATAGGCAATGTTGGGTTTATTGTTGTGATGTTGCTGTTGTTGATTGTGATCCTGATGTTGTTGCTGCTGCTGCTGCTGTAGTTGTGTGGCCGATTTCGGTTTGGCCGCAGAGACCATATGATCGTGAGAGGGTATTATTAGGAGTATGGCGAAAAAGAGCAATGCATAGAGTAGACGAGAGGTGCCATTTGATGAGAATACTGATGACGATGTGGTTGTTGTGTTTTTGTTGTTGTTGTGAGAAGAGATTTGCCTATGAATGGGAATTTGTTCTCCTTTTATTTCGGCCTCATCATTGCCATCATCATCATCAGCTGGATTCGATTTTTTACGATTTTTATTTTTCAAAATCTTATTTAATGATAATACTAAGTTGTTGTTGCTGTTGTGTTTATTTACAAAAGTAATGCTTAGAAACGATAACAACAATGTTAACAATAGCGTTGTTAATTGTTTAGCAAATTTGTTGACTTGGACAAATGTTGCTGGCACATTTGATCGACGACGAGCTGCCCTAGCAGATGATGTTGATGGTGTTGCTGTTCGAGATGCGGCCGCTACCGTTTCCGTTTCCGTTTCTGTTCCTGTTTCCGCCTTCGCAGGCCTTAGGCGACCTCTTCTCCGTCGACTATTAAAATCTAATGATTCTTTTATGGATTTTGGAATAAAGTCAATTATTGGCTTTAATAGCGACTGCACTGCAATGTGATCATGCAACATTTTGCTTAGAGTTTGCTGTTGCTGCCACTTTGTTGCTGCTGCTGTTGTTGCTTCTGTTAAGAGAGAAGGTGTTTGGTATAAGATTTGTGCCTTCATTTTAGTTGTTAAATCAGGGAAATCATTATTTTTCACATCATCCAAGGACCCGACAACATGCCATAATTGTCTGCCCTGAGATGAATTCTGGTTGTTGTTGTTGTTCTTGGTTTGTTTTTGTGCATTGTTGTATGACCCATTTTTTAAGATTGGGATGAAAGTGGTTGTTGTTGGTAGCTTGTTTTTTGGTACAGAGCTATGCAAGGCAACATTTTCATTAGTTTTGGCTAATTGCTGCTGTTGTTCGTTGCCACCATTCTGCAGAGGGCCAAGTGTTATCCCTTCAGCAGCGACCAATGTTTGGAGATTTGCTGTTGTTGCTGTTGATGTTGGTTTTGTCTCCAGGATTTCATGTTGTCTTTGGGCGGGGGGCGTAACCGTTTGAGTATTGACTAAATTTGTTGCTGACAGAAGACATGTTGCGTTGTGTTGCTGCAACATTGGACCCCAGGAAAACGTTAAGAACAAAGCTAAGCGGCTGATGCTGCGGCGTGGTTTTTTTTTTTTTTTTTGTTTTTTGATCGTCAATAATTTGTGCAAAAAATTTAATTGGATTTTGTTTTGGTTCGGTTTTGGATTATTTATATGTATTTGTTGTTAATTTTATAAATTTTGTTTTTGTTTTTTTTTCTTCTTTTGTTTTTGCTTATTTCTGGGGGGAAATAAAACCGTTTGTTATCGTTGTCGTTGCTTGGTAAGGTATTCTTGTTTACTTTGTTTAGTTGTTATCGAGAAATTAAGGGGGGCAAATGGCGGCTTGTTGGGGGTTAGGAAATTTTATTATTTAGCATAATTATGTATTTTTTAAATTTGTTTTATAATTTTTTTTTTCAAAATGTACGGGTGCTTTGTTCTGTTATTTTTGCTATCATTGAACAGGAATAGATTAAGAATGAAAAAATAGATTTTAGTTTAAATTTTCTTTTATATAAACTAGTTGTGTTTTTTTTTTAATTTTTTGGTGAAGACAATTTTTTATTTTTTTTTAATATAACACTTAATTTATTTTATAACGCCTCTAGTTTAGCATACATTTTTTCTAGGTATTTTTTTATCACATTTTTCATGGCGTATTATCAATTTATTTTTTCTATTTAATTTTTATTTTTCTTGTATACAACATTCTTTGCCATTTATTTTCTTTTCATGCGTTTTAACGCAGCCATTCACAACGAATGGTGTGTGTATAACAGGCAAGCTCTAGCTTACAAATGTTTTGTGTAATCATGTAGGCGCGTGTTGTGCTCACCGAAAATTTTCTGTTTTTCCTTTTGCTGAGTTTTTACTTCTCTTTGGGACAAAGAGGGAACAAAATAACATACACACAAAACCATAGAATTAGTAACCGAAAGAAATACTTAAAGAAAAATAACACAAATTATTTCTTATTTGTTGTATGCCTTAAAGTATGCAATATTTTGAGAACACCATAACACCACAATAACCTTTATTTTCCAGAAATTCGTGTCAATAACACCACACACCCAATCAGCGCCAGCCTTTTTTTGAAAAAAAAAGGCTGAAAACTTCCTTTGCTTCTCAATTTCACATAGCACTTTTCAATTTCTTTGCCACTTTTTTCTCTATAAAAGAATTTTTTTTTTAGTTTTGCTGCTCCTCGGCCGCCTTTGGAGCTAGCAGGCTGGCAGACATTTAAGCAAAAGTTTAGTTGGAATCTTTTTCTTTCTGCTTCGCTGGTTTAACAACAATGGCGACGTTGTGTTTCACTCGCGTGTTCTAAACGTTATGATAACTCGTTTATTTTTCTAGTTTTCGTTAAGCTATTTCATACATTGTTATAGCATAGCTTCTAGGCGCACGCTTTTTCCACACAGAAACACTCACACACACACACACATTTTTTAGGTCTCATTGCCTCCTAGTTGTATGCAATACAATGGAGTGTGTGCGCATTGGAGCACAGGAGCAGTGGTGAGAGTAAGGGTGAATTTCATACGCAGAGTTCAAGTCAATACGAAGAGTAATTTATTTCGCCATTAGCTTTCGTTGCTCAATGTCTCTTGAGTGTAAGAGCCGTTCATCGTTGTGACAGAGAGAGTAAAAAGGAGAGTTGTTGAGTTTATTTGTTCTCGAAAGGTTTTGAGTTCTGTAAGAGAGAGAGAAAAAAATACAAATTTGAGATGAGTTATTGCGTAAACAGTGGTAAAAGGCGTTTCAATTGAAGAAAATGTGAAATATAGTCATTAACTAATTTTAGAAAAACAAAATTTATATTTTTTGCTGATAAAGTGTTATAGCCATATTCCTGCAGATGTCAATTTAATGTTATTCGAAAATTATAAAGATTTTCTAAATATCATTTTGTTTGTTTCCAAAAGCCCAGATTACACATCATGTGAGGGTCATATGTTAAGTTAATTCCTTCATATTTTTCCTTGGCATTTCTATGGCATACTTTTAGGGTTACAATCCGCTTCAATGATTTAATGTAAAAGAAAGGTAACATTTTAAAATAATAAATTTATTGTAAAACTATACTATTATATTATAACAAGTAACAAAAAAATATGTTCGATCGGGCCGAACTTTTAATACCCCCCACCTGAGGGCAAAAGAAACATTAGAACCTTCAGGTAGAACCCATTATGCACAAATACCAATTTTTAGACACATTCGTGGGAAAATGTGGCAGAAATCATCAAAATACCGAATATCGGGAGGTAACGATATATGGGACTACACAAAAACGTGGACCTATACATGCAATGGTTCGCCACCGAATCTAGAACCCATTATGACCCACAAATATCAATTTTTAGACAAATTCGTGAAAAAATGTAGTACACATCATCAAAATACCAAATATCGGAGGTTCCGTTACCGTACCGTACGAAAACGTAAACCTATACATGCAATGTTCCACCTGTGAAACAACCCAACATACCAAAAATACAATACAGCTTGTGAACAATATTATGAAAATAGTTTATCGTAAGAATTCCTCAATAATGCTAGATAAAAACTTTTTTGCACAAACTTTTCTCAAATCTGTCCTTTGTTGACAAATTTGTTTTGATTTTTTTTGTGAAAATTGTCGACAAAAAAATATTTTCTTTGGTTAACATCAAAATCACGCGAATTTAAGACCCATTTCTGGACGAAACTCTAAGGTAATGATGAATAATAAATCTGGGAATCTGTAGTGTATATTATTTCAATCTCATTTCAGAATAGAGGCGTCGAAAAGTTGCAAGAATTCAAGAGAAGTGAAGAATTAGTGGAGGAGATGCGAAAGAGATCATCTAGGTATCAATGCAACAGGAGGCAGCGACAGCTGGGATGGCGATCAATGAATGAAATGTGTAAAATAATTAAAAAATAAATATTTTATACCATTGAAAAAATAAGCTTGATATAATATTACTTTCGTAAGCTTATTCTGCAATTACAAGAATAAGCTTATGAATAAGGGTTCCCTTTCGATTATTCTATAATTGTTAAACAAGCATTTCTCAATACATTCTCAAGATTTTCTCAAGCTTAAGGCTTATTTTTGAAAGCTTATTAAAATATTATTCTCAAGTCAATTTGGTATGTTGGGTAAAACCCATTATGACCTACATATACCAATTTTTAGACAAATTCGTAGAAAAAAAGTTGTGCAAAAATCATAAAATCACGAAATAACGGGAGGTATCATTATATGGGGACTATACCAAAACGTAAACCGATATATCTGATTTTCAATAACAACCATCTTAGACACAATACAAATTGTTTTGCTAAATTTTTACGCTGTACGTCAAATAATGTGGGCTGTATCATGATTTCAACAGACAGACGGACGGACAACATTAAATCTACTTAGAATTTTATGCTGATTCTGAATATGTATATATTTTATGGAGTATACGACGGATATTTATGGAAGTTACAAACGGAATATACCTTCCGTTCCAAGGTGAAAGGTATAAAAATTGCTGTGTACGCGTTCACGCTAGAATCTTGAAATTGTGCACAACGGCCAGTCTTAGTGCATAGGCCTGTGAAAAGGATAGTTGTTTGCAAATTTGTACTAAAATGGTACAATGAGAACTAAAATGTACTAAAAATGTAATACATTGTATTGGACAAACGGAATGAGCTAAAATTCTAATACTTGGAATGAGAGTCACAGATGGAATGCAGAAAAGATGTCCCAAAGGTTTTCTTGAAATTCGAACTCTAAGGTTAAGAAAAAGTTGAAAAATGACATTAAATTTGGTATGAGAATCATGGCTGGAAAGTAAGTTTGATATATGGAGGTGGTATTGGAAATGTGTACAAAATGTGCGAATTGTACTAAATGGTACTAAATTTGAAACACGACAAAATATTAAATTGTACTACAGTGTGAGATGAAAAACCTGCAACCAACTTCAGACTGCTGTCATTTCTAAGCCACTCGCCCGACAGCTGTTTTTCCTCATTATTTTGTTAACAAGCGTACAAAAGCATTTTGGTGAGAATTTTCCAGAAAAAAGTTATTCGCGATGGAATTCAAGCGTGATTTGAAATTCCCAAAATTGCAGGAACTTACTCCGCAACAGAAAGAAAATAGACTCAAAAGAGCTAAGGAGTTGCTTTTCCGATGAGAAAACATTCGTTGTCCAGCAGTTTGTAAACAAACAAAATTATCGTGTTTACTTGCCAAAGAGGTCAGCTGAAAATGTGCACCTTCGGTTGGACACCAGAACTCCGCCGCCATAACAGCCGATGGTCGCTCTCCGCTCGTATTAATTGACCGTGGTACCGAATATTATCGCAATTAAAAAAATGTAAAAATTATGGCGTTTGACATTTTTTTTTAACTTAACAACACGCAAAGGGATCCCAATATTTTGAACTACCTTTCGTAAGATTTGATACAAATGGGTCATGTCGGTCTATTTTTGTTAAGTCCCTATTTATGGTTAAGCCCGGATTTCATGAGTTTTATACGTTTAAGTCATATTCTGTATTTATTTTAACTATTTTTAGTATTTTAAATTCTTATAAAGCAAAAACCTTTCCCATATGTTAATATATATATGTATAATATAGGACCACATATTGAAACAAAACTCATATAAATTTACTTTATGTTGTTAGCCATTTCGTGGGTCTTGGCCCCACTTTCCAATAGCTTTGGGTTTGAATTTGTATTTTTGTTTTTCAAAGCATAGAACACTTCCTAGAAAAAACTTTTTGTTGTGGGTCCATGAGGACTGTCCACATATTTCTACCTCCTGATTGAAATTATATCGAGATATTTGGCAATATTTTTCAATAAAACATTGGTCTTGGAATTCAAACCCTTTTGGGATTTGTCACCCACAATACAAAAGAGGTTGGGAACACCGACTTGAGTTGGATTGGTCTGTAATAAATATCTACAATTAATATGTTATGTTGGAAGGTATTCTACCCCGAAGAACGCAAAAGACAAGATTTTAGCCAAAAAGTGTGAAAATATGGCTAACATCTTCAAAATCCTACACTTAACAAATAATATCCTATTGTACAAGTACGGCACATAATTTTTATAAGTGAAATAAAATATATTTGACGACTTAAATTCCTAGAAATTCACAATAGATAATCTTGAAAGAACTGCAGGCGTACTTTCTAAATATAGTGTCCATCAGGAACGATGTGGCCCAATGAAATATAACTGTTAGATAATTGAGCCCGAAAAGTTTTCGAATATCATTTCTGCTTTCGTTCCCATATGACTTTACCGCCCAACATTTGATATTATAAAGCTTTTAACAGCCTTAAGCGGTTGGATGGCTATAACATTACGTTTTCTCTTCTTAGATGGAGTGAAAGCTTTTGTAAGTATTGACATCTGGATCTTAGATTTTGGTACCTCATTGTTAAAGATTAGCCATTATTCTGCACAGACAAGTGTTATATTTGTTCAACAAAAAGAAAAACATATCGTAAATTTCGAATATCCTCCTGATTTTCTATATTTTAAATATTATTTTTCTATTTCTCACTTTAAATTTAAATTATCGAAGAGAACACGGCGTACAATTCGAGAGACGTTTAACTTTTCCACAATTTCAATCAACTGTTTACACAATTTTGTTAGAATAGTCAAATATTGCATTTTTTAAATTATCAATTTAGCATGAGTTCCCAAATTCAATGATCCTGACCTTAATATTCACGAGCTACTGATAAGACATATAATAACGATCGTATTAGTCACACATTTTTGAAATGAGCGACATTCGGTGTTTTTATTATCTCATTATGTCACGGGTTATTTAATTAATTAGTATGAAATTATTATGTGAAAATTTGAATAGAATTATTATCAGAACAGAAATAAAGAGGGAGAGAGAGATAGAGAGAGAAAATCGTCTGCTACTAACTGTATAGTTCATTGACTATATAGAAGCATCGCATTCTACATCGAACCAATATCTATCAAAATTAACTTGAAGCTTGATTCAGTTCATTGATAAAACTATAAATCGAATGTCACAGAAAATCCGCAGTTATTTTATGAAAATTTTCATCAATTGCAAATGCTTATAAAGGAACTCTTTCGATCGAAATTTCATTTCGATTTCATTCAATTTCATTTTGATCAAGAGTGTTCCACAGAGTGTGTGTGAAATTGTATGGCATAAAAGTATGAATTAGTTGATATATCCTAATATAATTAATGTAAGGTATATGAGACTAATTACTATTAACAAGTAAAAAAAAACAGCTAAGTTGGGCCGGCCCTAACTTTTTATACCCTTTACCATTTGGAAAAAACTTGAAAATTTTCCAAAAAAAAAAAAAAAAAAAAAAAACCGTCGAAAAATGCCGCTCAAATGAAAACCGTTATATGAGGCTATACGAAGACATGGTCCTGCATAAGTAATTCGTGTCATAAGCTGTAGTAACGGTTCCGAACTTTATGTATGAAATTTGAAACAATTCCCGTGAACAATGTCGAAAAAATCAGGAAAGTACCGAATATCTGTGGGTAACGTTATATGGGGGCTAAATAGGTCCATGTTTTAGTATCATGGACCTATTTAGACAATTCTCTTCTAAGGGGTAATGTACTCAGTACCCTTGTGTGGATTTTCAGACAATTCCATTGAAAAATGTGGCTAAAATCATCAAAATACCGAATATCGGAGGGTACCGTTATATGGGGGCTATACGATATCGTAGGCCTACATAGATAATTCTTTCCCAAGGGATAAAGTACTCACAAGGAACTCCTTGTGTGGATTTTCAGACAATTCCATTAAAAAATGTGGCTAATATCATAAAAACATCAAACATCGGAAGGTTCCGTTATATGGAGGATATACGATATCTTTCAGGCAATAAAGAACTGACAAAGAACTCCTTGTGCAGAATTTCAGACAATTCCATTGGAAATGTGGCTCAAATCATGGAAATACCGAATATCGGGGGTACCGTTATATGGGGGCTATATGATATCGTGGACCGATATAGCCCATGTTTGAACTTAACCTGCCTGCATACAAAATGCAGATCTGTGCAAAGTTTTAGCTTCCTATCTTAATTCGTTTTGACTGTAGCGTGATTACAACAGAAAGACGGACGGACAGGGCTAATTCGTCTTATAATTTTACGCTGATCAATAATATATGTACTTTGCTGGGTCTAAAATTATTATTTTGAAGAGTTACAAAGGAAATGACGAACTTAATGTACCCCCCGAAACCGAACTTAATGTACCCTCCATACAATGTATGGTGGAAGGTATAAAAATTGTTACCGATATCTTTAATAGTAGTTTGAACCTGGCACAGGTTGAAAACTAGAAGAGTTTAATGACAAGCAGTATATAGGCAACTTAATCTACATTAGTTGGGAGCAGTGTGACCGCTGGAAATTTTTAAAAAGTATCATAAAAAGTATAATTTCTTGAAAAAAGTGGAACATATCATTTTAAATGGTGGCACAGAAAGTGGCACAATTTATTTCACATTTTATTTAAAAAATACCAGTTTAGAACAAAACAACAAATTCATTTATATGTAATACTATATAGTAATAATATATGTATGTACATATTGCGTATTTAACCAGTAAAGAAAGACTTAAAGTCGGGCGGCCCGACTTTATGATACCCTACACCACTATGCTCATTTAGTAGCGCTCCGCATAACAATTAAAAGTTCTTATGGGAGAACTCAATCATACACGCTATGATTATAATTATAGTTTAAAGTTCAAAAGACTAAATATGCCGAAGCATTTGTATCTTTTAAATTCGGACTTGTATTGCCCATTTGGTGCACAATTAGTTTGAAATCGGATAAAGATATACATGGGAGCTATATCCAAATCGGAACCGATCTCGATAAAATTTGGCAAAGATATTTCTGAGCTGTATTTGATATATTTACCTGAATATCGTTGTTATAGAGTGCATATTACGGCTGCGGAGGACAAAAATAACAAATCGGATGAACAATATATATGGGATCTATAGCTATATCTGACGCGATTTGGCATACTTATATTCAG